GTCCGAAGTTTGACCAACCGAAGTTGAAGCACGAGTTATAACAACTGAGCATAAGTCATAGGGATCTGGTCGATGATTCTGTCAGGTTGTTTCGTCTTTTGAGCATACCTCCTAATCTTAGGATGATCTTGGGGGAACAAGAGGTAGCTGCTGACGGGGAAGTTCCGGGACCTCAGGTTGTGCAAAAAATCTTCGAGGCACATCACGTTTTGGGAGAGATTCCACAGGTGGAGGTGGAATAACCATTTCTACTGCAGCTTCGGGCACCTGATCGCCCTCCTTTCTTAGCACATAATTGATTTATTTGGATTATTTTATTTGGTGGAAATGATATAGAAATAATAGAAATAAGATAATTGGGCATATTGGATGAGAATGTGAAAAGTAAATGTGGAGGTATGATTAGTAAGTCGATTAGTTGCTAGAATTAGTTGTTATACGGGTTTTATATATAAAGAGAAAAATAGAGTTAATGAGGGAATAAGAAGAAAAGAAGCTAACATAGAGAAAAGGAAAAGGGGAAAAGAAGAGAAGAAAACCTAAGGAGAAAATTCAAGAGTTCATCAAGAAACCAAGGTAAGGATGGGTCTTTACATGGTAATGGGATTGTATGATGGGTAGTATTATATTTAGGATAAAAATCCCTAGCTTTCATGGTTTTGAAATTGATGATCACCTAATGTATGATGGTAGGATCCTTAAATATGTGTTGTGGGCTGTTATAATTGTCATATAATGGAGGTCCCGAAGGCCTTCGACAGTGAAAATGGGTTTTTTTGTTCTCTGACATGGGTGGTCGTGTCAGCCCCCCTGTTTTGGAGTTCAAAACATGATTTTCTGACTTTGGAGTGCCACGGGCTGTGTCACCTGACACGGGCGGCCGTGTTAACTCGCTGGATGTCATACTCGGAATTGTCTCAATCATAACTTTTGATCCGTAAGTTCGTTTTGGTCTCTGTTCAAAGCGTCGAAAAGTTAATGAATATAGATATAACATAGTATAGATAATAGAATCGGTTGCTTAATATGTTTATATCTAATATGTTTGGGAATTCAATTGTGTATATGTTATATTAATAAATTGTTGCACTGTTTGCTGCCGGTTGTGAAATTATTTGTGGATAATTTATCGAATAATTGTATGTGTGCTTGTATAAGTATATTTTGGTGTGTGACAATATGAAATACATGATAGTTATTGCTTTTTGTAATGATAATACAGTTGTGATTGTATTGTAAAATATGTTGTATACCATTTAAAAGTGAATTGTGTGTGGATGATTAATAATTATGTGCAAATATGTGTAATTGTGTGGTAACTCAATTACGATGAATTATTGAAGATATGCATGGATGTTAAGATTTAGGGATGATCTTAATTGCATATGGTTATTGAACTTGCACGTGCATCATTATAGTCAAGAGGCAATGTTTGTTAGTTTTGTAGGAACTAGTGACTTATCCCAAACCTAGAGAGGGGTTTAAAGCTTAAAGGATGGGCTTTTGTGTGTTATTGGTCTAGAGGACGGATCTGGTTTAATGTAAAAACCGAAAAATAATAACAGTGATTGGTACCACATGCATGAGTATTGCATTTGAGTCTTGCATTGAGTCATATTGTGTCTATGATTGCAATATGAGATTATGTGCATTATGTGAATTTAATGAATTGGTGAAATTTTATGGATTTGTGAGTATGTACTTATGAATAGTATGGTTGCTTGAGTGATGCTATGTTTATAAAGCATTTGAAATGTGAAAATAATTATGCTATGTATTATATTATCATATGATTTCGATAATTATGTGAATTTTCACCCTTCTGTTGGAATGATATTTTATACGACATTGCTCAGGTACTGAAGAGTAGAGTTGCTTCTAACACGAGGGTAGCTATTGGAGTTACTTACTTTATTTTCCTTATTTATTTTGGTTCTAATCATGCTCTGGTCATGTAACACTGGGAACGTTTTGATTTATGTTTTGAGAGATACTTTATTTACTCTATTTTATTTTGCTATCGTTATTTGAATTATGTGGAGTTTTGGCTTTCATGCATAACTGGTGATATGAATGAGTTATTTATAGCACTATTTATTATGTTCGTTATGAATGAAAGTGATTTCGCTGCTACATGCTATGTGATAGTGTGCGAAAAGCATGAATTTAATGTAAGTGTTATCGAACATAATAGGTGTATGTGTGATGTTTAAATTATATGTGACACCCTTATTTGAGATGCATGTCATCTTACTCCGATTTATGACGTATTATCTGTGGGGTTTATAAGGTGTTATGATGCCCAAAAGGATATGCATGACATTAAAGGATGTCATGCTAGATTTGCATTTCTTATGGAGTTGTACATATACCACCTGGTTGCGACAGTGGAGGTAGATGGTGATGATGCACAGTTGTTGCATTATAAAGCATGTGCATTGAGGTCATACCTCATGTATTTGGTTGGCATGTCCATATTTGTGGACAAAAGTGTTTATTATGTCGATGTGGTTTATCTTAAATACTTCATTGAGCTTGAGCGAATTCATGAGTACAAGTGGGGGACCACTTGTTTGATTTACATGTACTCAAAATTCGGTGAAGTTTTTCTTTGAAAGATTAGATAGATGACAGCAAGCAACACGTTATTTACGATAATATATTTGCACACTAATATTTTGTAACATTTGTGTTACAGCGTAAGTAATTTTTTATGTGAACCATTTTCAGATATGGATCCTCTCTCATTTTCCACGCATCTCTAATTAGTCATATAAGGGGGAATATAATGAGGCTTAGCTACGTGTTTGCACATTTGTCCCGCTAGGCGATCGAGTCATTTCGAGTGTTTCTTAACCATATTGTAGCATATGATATACGTTACAAACTGTTCGACAATCACCGTCAGACGCGTCCCTTGGTTGACATGTTTTCTACTCCATGTGGTTGACTTGTGGGTAACGTCTAATTTATCCATATCTTCTTGAGCAAGCGAATCTTCTCCTACTACTTTCATTCACAAAAATGTTAATGTGATATTTGATGATTTCTATAATCATCTGGTACTAGAGGAAGCACAAAGTGTGTCATCTCCTTAGTCATGGAGTAGTACATTCGACTACGTCTAATGGTATTTTAGAGTGTTACATCCTTACATGACACCTAATGTTTGGGGAGATCCACCTAGATCAGCTCATCAAAAGATATTATAGGAAAAACAGGTTAGAAAAAATCATGTCATTGACGTGTTATCTGCATGTCAGTATATTATGACTATTATGCGAGCGAGTATAAAGATAAGGAAGTTTTCGAAAAACTCTCGTGTGAGAGTCACTACATAGATCATTCTATATAAGGCATGAAATGTCTTGCAATGCAGAAGGCAGAGAAGGAACCAAAGGGTCAGATTTACCCAGTAGTTCACTTTTACTTCTTTTTTGATAATATTTGTATTATAGTTTGTACTTTGCCAATAATAATGTTAGATGGCTATTATGCGAGCGAGTATAGAGATAGGAGAGTTTTCGAAAGACTCTCGTGTGAGAGTCACTACATAGATCATTTTATATAAGGCATAAAATGTCTTGCAATGCAAAAGGTAGAGAAGAAACCAAAGGGTCGGATTTAGCCCGTAGTTCACTTTTATTTCTGTTTTAATAATATTTGTATTATGGTTTGTAATTTGTCAATAATAATATTTGATTATTTGATTATGAATTTTAATTGAATTAATATATAATATTTTAATTGAATTACATAAAGATAACAAATTTATTTTAATAATATACTGAATCATTTCTAGAAAAATAAAAATATCAAATTCATAACAAACTTAATGTATATTTTGATAGTGTGTTTATTTCACTTAATTGTGAAATACACACTACCATGAGCTCAAAATATACAAAATTATTATAGAAGTACACATACAGATTTACTCTTATATCAATATGAAAATACACTTTCAAACTAATTTTTAACAAAATGAAGTGGATGTCTCACTTGTAAAAGGATATTGCATATTTTAGATGCATACAGAAATATATACTTCCGAATTTGAGAATGACAATTTTATATTTTAAAAAGTGGCCACTTTTGAAAAGAGCAACCCGTACATTTGAGGTAAGGGTAACATGGCTGCCTTAGGGATATAAGGTAGCATGGCTTCCTTTGGGATATACAGTGTCGAGCAAGGGAGATGTCAAAATGTTTGTTTGAATTGTGTCTCACTAATGTATAGCATTTCTCATGGTGTTGAGTAAAATACGTCCCCGTCTCTCAAACAGTAGCAAGCGACGACAACAATCAATATAATTAGTACTAAATCAAGATTTGGTGATAAGGTTATCATCTGCAACACTTTCAGTAGTTAAAGAAAAGTATTATTCTGGGATTAAACTTCTCTGTTCCTCATCGTAATCAACACACGTGTAATAAGAGCACTACCCCACCATTGATGAATTTGTCTAGTCATACTTTCATAGAAAATGCTTTTCTCAGTCATTCAGATACACTCCATTGTTGTTTAGTAGCCAACGATGACACTCTAGAAAAAGAAAAACAGCAAATAAATATTACACAACCTACACTCTAACTATTATAACCAGTGTTGTCAATCACAAAGCCCTTTGACAACACCTTGAACTCAATAGCATACATTGTGAAATAGTGATTTCTGCATAGCTCCTATAACAACACTGGCTATAATTCAGGGAAAAAGATGTGACAGCTATTGAAGGATGCATTTAATGCAGCATCGCAGCATTGCGTATCCCCGGCAGTTGAGGAGACAAATCGATTTGATGACCATTGCTGAAACTTCTTTCCCAAAAAAATTGGCATTCTATGAAAAGCTTTCATTCTGTGAGGCTGTGATTGATGCAAGCCTCTCTTCCATTAGTAACCACAATATACATGGCAGCTTAATAATCCACCAATATAATACAGTTCAACACCCTTGAACCACTCACTAAATTCAACTTGTACCCAACACTCCCTGCTTACTTACTGTTTTTTAAGGACCTGCCATTTTCTTCGCAACCGTTAGTATTAAGTTTTGGTGGCTGTGCTGAATTGAATCCATTCGCCTTGACAGATCCAGTGCTGCCCTCAATTGCGTTTACAGCACTTGTTGGCTCAGAGTTCTTATCGGCAGAAACAGGTGGTTCTAACAACTCCAGGCGTTTCAAAGATGGAACATCTCCCTCACAATATCTGCGCCATATGCTCCTATATGCTGACTCTAGACCAAGGATAAAGTTTGCTCCATCACAAACAGGAGACTTGGACATGAGCTCTCGTAAACTCATTCTCAAGTTTTGTAATGCTGGAATGTCGGAGGCTAACTTCATGGCCAATTTAACATATTCTTCTTCATTTTTGGCAATCAAATTCTCCAGCCCTGAATTATTAAAAGTTACATATTCATGTTAAATGAGGAAGCCAAATAATGCAAATATATATGCTCTACAAACTATTGTGTACTGAAGGCTAAGGAAAACAATTGAAAGTAGAGGGAAACTAAGGGAAACTAAGGAAAACTATTGGTTATCGTTGATTTTAAGAAAAGCTTCTTTATTTAGATAAGACTAATTTTTAAACTCTTTTTTGGATAACAAAAACTGTTCATTTCAATAAAGCCACAAGAAATCAAATGAAAATGATTACTAATGTAACAAAGTAAGATGGAGATTGAATTCTGAGCCAAAATATCAGAAAGTTTCAATGGCTTTAGCCACGCATTACTTTGGCTAGCTGGAAGGCATTCCACAAAATGACAAGGTAAAACATGCAACAGCGATTGGGAAGTAATAGTAATACTGAATATACTCAACATCATACAAATATTAAAGTGGATTCCATACCAACATTGCTAAGAAGACTAACACCAACATTGTGTGCATGTACTGAACCAGCCATTGTAACACAAGGAACTCCCATGTATAAAGATTCACATGTTGTAGTTGTCCCAGCATATGGAAACGTGTCCAAACTACAAAATAACAGTTTACAAATGTATAAAACAAGTTATTTAACATACACAAATTGTGTTCTTATAATTCTAATCAAAACCACATCCAAAGGTTAATTTTCGTCATATCCAATATATATACGTAGCACCCACTTTCATTTCACTAGACATAGAAACAGTCAACAAAATATTAGTAAGACATCAACCATGATTGACGACAAGATTAAAATCAACATATGTAAGTAGAAAGCTCCTAAAGATGAGCAGAACAATATAGCAAGTAGCTGTTTCGTAGTATGTTTCACACTCAACAAATAACCAGGAAATAACTTATAATCTAGTAGATTTGTACAGTCCAATTGCCCTATTCTATAGGATATTCATGTACTACTCCATTACATTTGATACTACTTTCAAGTAAGGCTATGCCAGCAAATGGTAAATTTGAGATTTTAGCTACTCAAATAACTAACCATTCCAGTGTAAGACAATTTTATATTTTAAGTTTCCCTGCTATTCAGTAATTAGAATCAGACACAACCATCCTTAGTATGCATGTGAATTACTGAGTTTTAGGATGCAAAAATAATTTAAAAGAGTAAGAATAAGAACATGTCTGATTTTGATGAAATTTTCCACAGAAATGCTTTTTGAGTGAATGCTCTCTTGATTATGCTATGTTCCAAATGCATAGTTTTTCATTCAGATTATTAATTATGCTATGTTCCAAGTTGAGTCAATCTTTCAGGTGCCCAAGAATTATTTTTTATACTGCACCACAAGTGTATCCAATTTGCACCAAGGATATGAAAAGGGTTAAGAATTAATTAGAATAACAGATCAAACAGAGTGCTGCACATAATGACGGAACACAACCAACAGTAAACCAATACCTGTTTGTAAAACAAAATGAGTTCAGGCAGGACCATAAAAACATCAAAGAATAGAAAAATAGACATTACCTGATGTCCATCAGAGAATATGCTTGCATATGATCATGGTTAAGTAGAATAAGGGGCAGAAGATCAACTCGTAGTGGTTCCAATCCCAACTGTTCTAGGGTTGAAAGAAACCTCTGTCTCACACTATCACAGCAAAATGGTTTACATTTTACCACGAGGCGAGAATTTGGAATTGCACAAAGTATCCTTGCCCAAACCTTCAATACTGTAGGAGTAATCTGATGAAACAATAACATAAGTTAGGAGATACAGGACCTATCTTTAAGAACAAACATGTACACAAATAATTTAACAAAAACACTACCTTGGCAAGATTGTTAAAACTACCAAATGTAATAAAACCATTGGAAAGAGCAGGAGTCGGACACACAGGACCAGCCTCGGGGGAAGGAGTGTAACAAAGGAAGCAATTTGGTAATCGGACTAACTCTTCAACATGCCTGCAACAAAGAAAACATGAGGTGAGAAAATAAACTGCAACAAGAGTGATAGAGAAAAACATAGATCAATGACAAGAATGTACGGAAATTCAAGAAGATAACTACTTCTGCTTTGTTTCAGGAGGGTCTGCCAGTGAATCAGATATTCTGTAATCAATTGCAGGCAATCCTGTAGTATTGGGATAACCAATCCAAGTCACCTGCTCGTCAAACAACATAAGTTACAGTTTTGCAGAGATCAAATTATATACATTCACCACACTAATGGCAGTATAACACATGTTGTCATAAAATGATGCGAGCCACTACATATCACATGCTTGATGAGTAGATTTAGCACATACATGGAGAAGGATATGTATAAGACTGAAATAAAAGTATAGAAAAAGACATATATCTAAGATAGTTGTTTAAACTGTATTTACTCGTGTAAGTTTCTTTCAAATATTATACATATATGGCCCCTCGCTTTTGGATTCTTGCCCGATATTGCCTACCAACAAATTAATCATATTGTAAGAGTAAATACTGGCAATTAACCAGGCTAAACTAGGACGTGCTATCAAACAATTCTTCCAGTTTCTATTACTCAAATGATATGCCAATATATGCAATAAAATACTAATTTGCATTTTCACAAAACAAATCTGATACAAATCAATGGAGATTCGAGTATAAAAACAAAAAACATATCTGCATCATGTAGCAAGCAAGGGTGAGAAAAACTGTAAGCTCCAAAATAAAGGAAAAAGTATACATACAGATTTGAAAAAAAAATACCTGAACTGGAGCAGGTCGACATGCCATCATTCCCAGCTTATTGTTTGCAGTATGACCAGTAAGTTCTACCAAAATATCAACTTGATCTTCTTTAATTATATCAGCGACCTTCTTTTCGTCAGTCCCGTAAATGTCTTTCCAGATCCCACCCTTCTTTAAAACTTTCTCTCTAAACCGAATGGTTTTTGAATCTGCCTGCAACATCACAAGAAAACCAATTTTAAAATAGAAAAAACAGATATTAATAACTTAATTATGGAACCTCAGCTATAATGTTAACAATAATTAGAATTATGACAAGACAAATTATGTTGAACTCTGACTCTCCATGCAGGTTATACTTGATTCTCTCCTACTAAGCCTGAGGATCCATAAACAACCTGGCTGCTATGGCTAGATCCAGGGAACGGTCAGGCCTATTGTGATGCTATTGTAGACATGATATCTTGCATTTACATGAAGCAGGCCTGAGAATTTGTAAGCCATAAACTATTGAAAGAAATATAACGAACTTTTAATACTTAATCCAAAATATCATATGAGCACCAATTTGAACAGATGTGCAAAGAAAAAAAAAAGTATATTTCCAATATTCAAAAGAATACCACAAACAACTTCATTCATGGCCTATGACAACTAGAGGTTAGTTTTCCAATGTAATCAAGATCTCCAACAAGTAAGCAGTATATCAATATTTTCAACATTCCGAACAAAACAATTCAGCAAATGGTACCTTGACAACTGCTGAATAAACAATCACTTTATATTTGGCGTAGTTGTGATAGATAAGGGGAGCTTCTATGAAATATGACACAGAGTGTGTAAAATAATCAGGAGATACATATCCTATCACAAGAGGCCGTTCGGGATCTTTTGAGTTGTTCCATGATGGGAGTTGTTGATATAGTCTCATAAACCGCCTACCCCAATCCCTGAAAGGAAACACTGTATTGATAAGTCTTAAATCTAAATGCCATTCTACTTTCTCATATAAAGTAAACTGCAGCAGATAAAAATATTATGGATGACAAATTTTGGCAATTGAAACTACAAGTCATAACCCATGGGTTAAGAAACGTGGTTGGGCCTAACTCAGCCCTACAAAACCGGTTGGTAGAGTGAGGATTGCCCCCACTTATAAACACATGTTCATTCCATATATTGTCCGATGTGGGACTCTTAACACACCCCCTCACGCTCAGGATTGGACAACTGAAGCGTGGAAATAAATGGTGGGTGGCCCGATAGCGGAAACCATAGAAGGTGGCCCACCGGATCTTAAACGAGGCTCTGATACCATGTTAAGAAACGTGGTTGGGCCTAACTCAGCCCTACAAAACCGGTTGGTAGAGTGAGGATTGCCCCCACTTATAAACACATGTTCATTCCATATATTGTCCGATGTGGGACTCTTAACACCATGCACATAATTGATAATTTGATACCATAAAGCTCTGTGTGCAAGTTTGAAGGGGAGGGAAAGGGAGGGCTTTGGGGGAAGGGAATTAAAGGGGGAAATAGAGAAATCTTTTGCTTTTCTTTTTTTTAAATAGTGTTTCTCAAGAGAAAGATAAATGAATATTAATCATTAATATATTTTTAATTTTAAGAGTATTATAACAAAATAGATTGAACTTGAAGAACTTATCTAAACCCTCCAAAATCCCCTTTCCACACAATTTTTGAGTTCTCTTATTTTGGGAGGATTTTGGAGATTGTATTGATGGAGGATTTAGGAGGGCTTAAATAAATTTTTCAAATCCAATCTGTCGTTATACAATTCTTAAAATTAAAAACATATCAATGATAAATTCATTTATCATTCCCTACAAAAGCATTCTCTCAAAACATAAGTAAGATTTCTCTATTTTCGCCCTACTCCCCTCTCCCCAAAGCCCACCATTTCCCTCTTCTCCAAACTCGCTAACAGAGCCTAAAGAAACGTTACTTGCAGAGACAACATGAAAAACATATACTCCTAAATATCAGCAGAAAATAGCTTATGCTCCCATAATACAGCATTGTGATTTAAAAGAAATGTGGTTAATCAAAAGTAAAATTGTGGTTAATTCAGTTGAGTATATTATTAATTTAAATCATGTAGAAAATTGTAAAATTGTGATTAATCGTGCGGTTGAATTAATCACAATTTTTGACTGTGAACTAAATAAACCATCTACTCAATTGAATTAACCACATTTTTTAGCGTGATTATGTGTCATAGATGTAGAAAACCATGGGTGCCTTAATATCTTTACTCTTTTCTTTTAAGCATTTTTTATTTTTCTTCTTAACCATCACCATAAACAACATTATCAACATTTAATAAAAAAGCACAAACTATGTCTCTATTTCTCCCCACACCCTTCCCCACCAGCACAATGCAATTGAAGGAGAAGTATATTTACTTTGTCATCCAGGTAAATTATACTACATGTCACCCAACATTTATGAAAAATCAAAGAAGTTGCTATTTTCTCTCATCCTAATATCACATAGGTAAGTTATGAGAAAGTTTAAATAATCAGTGAATGAGATATAGTAAAATCAGTAAAATGCAACTACCAAATAGAAATTGAAATACAAAAAAAAATTAGGAGAAAGTTGTTACCTATGAGCTTCAAAAAGTTTGTCATCATTTCCTTCATCTATGTAATTCATTGCAAGCAGGCGGTTCTGCACAATAAGGTGCATTAAAATAAGGATACAATACAATTACTCTACATAAAAGCTTCAATAATTGAAAGACATATAACTCTTGAAAGAAAAAAATCCAATCATCAGGACATTTTCTACAACCAGTGACTTTGATATTCAGCCCAAAAAAGAAAGATTAAACAGATCTAAGTATCAGCCATGCTTGCAAATGCCAGCTTTGGAAAATTTTACACAGGTTAACAAAAACAAAACATTCAGCCATAGTGCAACAGACCTGGCCAGCATTTCGAGAGTCAGGATCAATCTTGAGACATTGCTCATAAGCATTAATTGCTAGAGCAATATCACCAGCATCTCTGTAAAGAACTCCTGCACAAAAAGAACAGAAAAGATGAAGTGTATGATAGAAAAAGGTTTTAATTACAGGGACACTCGAAAATAAAACGTATTTTTGTAACTAAACATAATGAGAAACAACATTTCATTTTAAATGCATGGTATATTTATCAATGTAATTTTACAGCTAAGTTTAAATCTTTGTATAAGTAATTGACATACTTTTACTCTTTTAGAAAAATGGTCCAACCAAAAGAAACAGCATATGTGATTTATCTAAATTTGATTTAGCATTATTTCTTCACCTTTTCTGACCATCCTAATAAATCTATCATAATGTTACTCGACCATAGTTAGACTAGTAAGGAATCTGATTGCTGAGAATGAGTCGGCTCTATGCAACCAAGAAACTTGACAAAGTCCAACTAAGAAAACCGCTTCATATATTGAACGCATAATCCATATTTAGTCAAAGCCAGTAGGCCACATAACCAAATCCAAAATTATGCAGAAACATATCAAACAAGAAAAAGCACAACCTTAACAAGGATAAACACCTAGGTTGTCAGTTGTCACAAACCAAAATGGCCAAACATTGTCCTTAATTATAAGCACCCATTGGAAGAAAAAAATTGGCTCTAAATATAAGCCCCCTATCAAATTACTAGATGCATTTGTTACTTTTTTTTCAAGCATAACCTTAATTAAAACAACTTTTTTTCTATTTAGCTATTGACCAAGTGGTCAACTCATACTCAGATAAACATTTGCAAGGAGGAATTCCACATAAAAGTCCTCAAATTTGCCACGGAAAATGATAAACCAATATTGTATACGTCTATACACAAAGGACAATTTAGCCATACTCTTATATAAAATACACGCATTAACTACACTATAAATATGCAATGGGTGCTTATATTTAGGAACGGAGGGAGTAATATATTAAATAAAAGATAAATGATAAAAAAAAAGACCTAGGTTATTGTATGCCTCTGCGTATGTCGGATTTGCAATGATGGCTTTCTCAATCATACTTGCAGCGGCATCCATCTTACCCTGGGGAGAGTAGAAAAGATAGTAAAATTAGTAACTGAAGATATTTGATCAACTTCAAAATTAAAAAACTGTAAAATGCTTACCTGGACAGTGTAGACAACACCGAGGTTATTTAATGACTGTGAAAAGTTGGGCTTGATTGACAAAGCAAGCTACAATACCAAAAAAAAAGTAGGTATCAAATATATATGCAACCCAGCAAGGGTTGATATTGAAACAACTGACACAACTGTCATTACCTGGTAGCATTCTACAGCTTTATCAAGGTTGTCGCGATCTTTATATATAACACCTAGATTGTTACAAGCTTCCGCACAATGTGGATTGAAATGGAAGGCAAGCTCATAGAACACAATAGCCTAAGTAGTATATAAAAAATCCAAATTAGCCAAAGTTGTATCTAAGATCTTAATATGTTTCGTGGGTGTGCATTATGTAACAAATATACACAGATGTATGTGCAAGACGTACCATATCAAACTTAAGCATCTCACCATAAGCAACCCCGAGATTATACATAGCATCAGCATAATGCCAGTTATAAAACAAGGCTTTCTTATAAAAAGCCACACCGCGGTTGATGTCACCCTCCAATTTAACCTATATAAAACAATACAGTGGTATCCATAAGCATGAAAATATTATCCAAAATTGTCAATGCATCTCATTGCACATGAGGAATAGAAACAAAGAAAGGTGTCCAAGAAAAATTAGAAAACATTGATTCACAAACACAAACCACACTACCGCACATTTTAAGTCAGAAAAGTTTTCCTAAAATTTGTTCCCAGAGGTCATCAGTGCACTACTATTCATGTTGATATAACTATCATTGCACAATTATTCATGTTGATAATAGAAGTATTTTGTGAGTTTTTTTCTTTAAAAACAAAGAAAGAGTGCATCATACATGAAAACAATATCAATAAAATTGCTTTAAAAGTTAGCAGTTTGTGCATCACCTTTGTTCCCAAATCTGTCAAAGCTATAGCCATGTTATTTTTAGCAATCTCGAAGTTAGGTGAAACAGCTAAACACCTGCCATAAAACATAAGTTGATCATATAAACCTACAGCATAAGTCCAGTCATTAAGTGCATGCTTAAACTAGATTAAGGTCCATTTCTTTGTGCTTCTTCTAAAGAAAAGGGGTTTTAAGTTAGAAGATACAACATCAACACAATCAAGCCTTATCTCACAAAGTGGGATTAAAAGGTACAACAACATCAACAATCAAGCCTTATTCCCCTAAGTGGGATAGGCTACATGGATCAAATTACACCATAATGTTCTATGAAAGACCATGTTTCTATCCAATTCATTAATCTCAAGATCCTTCTTAATACTTTCTCTTATATTTTTTTCTAAGTCTTCCTCTACCTCTAGTTGCTTGACTCCTCCCATCTGGTTTAATCTCTTTATAATAGAATCTCCATGTCTTCTCCGTACACGCTCAAATCACCTAAGTTTATTTTTCATCATCTTTTCTACTATAGTTGTGACCTCAACATTCTCTCTAATATTGTCATTTCTAATCTTATCTCGTCTAATCTTACCATACTTTTAAGTTAGTAAAAGGCATCACTGAAAAAATTACAACAGTTATGTAATTCAAATAAAAACTCAGAAAGTATGTGTATTTCTCAAAAGCTAAAAATAGTAAGGCGTGTTTGGTTTGAGAAGGCATTTTCCATTTTTCATTTTTTGGGTTTTCAATTTAATTACTAAATGCCCTCTTGTTTCACTTTTTATGTTTTCAAAGATTTTACAGGACACAGTTGTTTTTACTGTTCCCTGTAAAAACATGAAACAGGAATCAAAATGAAAACAAGCACAGTTTAGCAGTAAAAATTGAAAACTAAGATTTAAGCAGAAAACACTTTCTCAAACAAAACAACCGTATCTTTCAAAATGTTATATTACTATCAGCCCCACTTGTTTAAGCTAAAACAAAATGGGCAAGATTAAAAAATGTTCTGTAACAAAACTTTCATAGAGCTTTTATTTATATACTATTATTTCTACCTTCTAAGTTCTAATAAAAGCACTAAATTAGCTTTTTGACATTTTTGCACATATCTTTTTGAAAAATATATTTTTATAATTATGTTTCATTCGTCTTCTAGTTAAAAGTATACATATAGACCCTTAATTTATACAGAAAATCATTGTTTTCCAAAAGCTCTCTTGACAAGATTTTGTTTATAGGCTGCTACTTTGAACACAAAATAAGCTAATCTTAATACTCTAAACAAACAAAAAATGCAAAAATTGGCTCGTCAAATGAAGCGCAAGCCATAGATATGTGTGTACCTCTCATAACAAGTAATAGCCGCTTCCAAATCACCTCGATTTTTATAAATCACACCCATGTTGCAATATGCTTCGGCATACATAGGCCTCTCTGATGAAGCTTTTTCATAGAAAGTGAGGGCCATGTCATATTGCATCATTTCAGAATAGACCACGCCAAGGTTATAATATGCTGGCTGCAAGGATAGAGAGAAAGAAAATTATTCATCATATGCAGGTAAAAAGCTGATTAAATTTAAAATGGATTTAATAAAATGGAAAAATGTGGGAAAAGGATTGAGATGGAATTACAGCATAGTGTGGATCTACTTTTAGAGCTTCAAAATATTTTTGAATTCCCTCCTGAGTGTTTCCTGCAAGCTTTATGTTGGTCCCAATATCCGTTAGTACAATGGCTAAGCATTCAGCAGCTGCTTTGTACGTAGGATCCACCCGTAACGCCTTTTGATATGACTGCTCCAGGTAAATCATTTGATTATCAGTGATAACTTATATTCAAATGATGCATCATATGTCTAGATTCAATGTATCATGTATGTAGTGATTGGGATATTGTTTCTTTATATTATACTATATTTATCTAGAATATAAATGAGATGTTTCCTCTTTCTTGATAACTTGAATGCAGTTGCAAATTGTCAACATACTACCCAAATCAATACTAGCATGCTGGGTTGTCGATGGCGGTTCATAGCGGAAAGCCAAAATCCCACCATACCGGACGCTTTGCAGTGCCGTTATAGCGGATTATGGCTGAAAACTCATCAATATCAAACTTTGGGGTACAGTCCCCAGGTAAGGACAAATGTGACAGTAAGGACGTCCACATTGAGGTATGCATACCTCATAATAGTAATACCCACTCTAAGTAATACCCACCCTAACCAAGGCAGTCAAAATTGCTATTTTACTTGGGGTCGGGAAGAGTCAAGATTGGAATCGCAATAGCAGGATCATAACATCGACAGTAAGATCCTACTGAAAATATTAAAATACATTTTTAATATCAAAATATGAAATAATTAGTTAATAGATGCAATTAGAACTACATTATATACCTCACTCAATATACTGTGAGAAGCCTGGCAGAGTCAAGTTATGTGAGATGGATGCAATCAACAAATAAACAGTCACCTCTAAGTTGGTTATAATACAGAGTTTATATATAAAAAGAGGAAAACTTTCCCATGAACCTAAAGCACTCATGTATCATCTAGAAATGGAGAATTAGAAAACAAAAATGCCATTCTATTTCATCAAAAAGAAAACTATTCATCTAGCAATCTACATACCTCAGCTGCCTCCATCAACCGACCTTCTTCTTTATAAAGAATACCACAATGTGTGAGAGCACAAGCATTCTGAGGATCCAACTTAATAGCCTCCGAAAAACTATCAAAAGCAGGCCTACCCATATTCTGCATCTGCAAACATATCCCTTTCCCAATGAGAGCCTCCACATTCCCACCATCACTCTCCAAAACACGCTCATACAAAGCAAGAGAATCCGCAAACTTGTTCCTCGAACGCAAAATGTTAGCATAAGAAATATCTTCTTTCACTTCAGATTTCCTATTCACCGAAACAGTACCACCACCAGAACTAACTGAGGGTTCTTTCACTTTCGAAAAACCATTATCTCCACCTAACTCCTTATCTTTTCCATTCCCATCATTTTCTTTCATCCATGCCATCTTAACCACCTTCCTAAACACATAATTTTGAAACAGTAATAAGAAATTTGAGCTAAGTTGATCAAAATCAATAAAAATTAAAAACCCTAGAAAATAACTAACTAACTAAATAGCTAACTACAGCTAACATTGAGGATGTACGGGATAATAAATGAAAAATGAAAAATTAATTATACAGAAAAATTAGGGTTTTGAACTTACAAGAGGGTTCTTCAAGGGCGAGAATAGGTCATGGGAAGTTGAGTTATACGGTGAAGAAATGGAGCGTCATGGGGAAGATGAAAGGGAAATTCCGAGGAAGAGGGAGGTGGAGGTGGCGGCCACTGTCTCCTCCTCCTCCGATGAAGAGGTGACAGTAGTTGGAGAGAGAAAGGGGAGAATGGATGACAGTAGTAGCAAAACCCAGAGTCCCACTGACAGTGCTTGGTTGATTAAAAGAATGGACGCAAAGTGACAACGCAGGCTTTTGTTTTCTTTACCCTTTTTATCAAATGCCTACCATTATTAATGTCACCTATCAATAAATAGTAAAGTGGTGAAAATTTATTTGTAATGCAGTGTCACAGTACAAATTTTACTAGTATTTTATAGTAGATTGGTAGATGATTATTCATGGATAACATAAACACTTTAAGTTAGTTAGATATAAATTAAATATTTAGTAATAATTAGGTACCATTGATTTAAAACGTAAATTTATATATATATATATAGAGAGAGAGAGAGAGAGTTAAATTCAATAATATTTGAGATAGTGTAATGGTATATATGAATTAAATTCTACCTATATATTGTATTTTATTTTTAAATGATTTTTTTAAAATGTTAATTTAATTTCTCATGAGATGGTTGTCCATATAGTGATAAGGGATGTATGAATTTTTTAGACGAGAGGATTTACGAGTAAATAGAAAGTTGGATTTAACCTTAATCGTCCCATTTATCCTCATAAGGAGAGGTTTAGTTTCAAACCCTCATTCAAACAGAAGAAGTATGTCGTGCTAATGTGTCTTAGATGGTCCACATCTCATGGTTAGACGTCGATGAACGTATTGAACTATCTATGTGGCTAAAAGCCCTCACATTCTAGGCACAACGACACAGTTATTAAGGGCATGCTTTACCACTAAGCCAATTAGTCCATTGTGTGGGCCTTTCGAATGAGCTTGCGATGTCAAAAGTGAGAGAAACTTTATCTTTCACTTTTTGTTTTATTGCCTTATGTCGCCCCCACGAGAGACATGGGAAAAAAAAGAGGAGGAACTCATATCTACTTGTTTCGTCCTAGGATAATAAGTTAGCATATGAATTAGTGTCAATTCACTGTCAAGAAATGGAGGAAGACTTTTGTTCCATTGTAGAATCATAATTTTAATTGATTAATGGTGTATGACTATGGAATCGGCGGTGTTGATCTCTGGTACGGTGACACGGGATGGATCTGCAAGGTTAGCAACTTAACGCCCAAGTCAATTCAGAGTCCAAGATAAGTATAGTGAAAGTGGAGATTATGAAATTATACCTTGAATTACTTGTGTTGGCTATACATGTAAGGTAATCCTGATTGGGCTGAAACATGGTTGGGCATTTGTGTTAAGCCTTTGGCCGACTCAAAATAGTTACCCCTAGGGCTTGTTCGGCATACATTAGTTGGGAAGTCTTTTGGAGTTAAGTTTGGCCTTCTTCGATGATGTCCGACCATGGTGAGGATTAGAAAAGTCATATAATGGTTATAAAAGTAGTGGGGAACATACACATTAAATATTTTTCCCATCATTGAAACGTTTCGCCAGTATTTTCATATGTGTGGCTTCAGTCTATCAGCTTATGGTATGGTGTTTCCCTCTTAGGCATTCAAGTGCACTTGAGTTTGTTTACATTTCTCAGGGGGAAATTCCCAATTGATCTGTAACTTCTCATTTCTATTGATCGAGATCGTTTATTGCCTTATTCTATATATAAGGGTTTTTTAGCTTTGTCAGAACTGTTCGTTATCCTTGAAAATCAATTTCTATTTGAGAGTATCTTTTCTTCTTCTTAACTATGAGCATTTCTCAAAACTTTAGCTATTCTTTAAACAAAGCCTCACAATTCTCACTTTACCTTCTCTTTTCTCGTAAGGCTCTACTTCTCCCAGGTACCCTTTTTACCTTAAGTTTTTTCATATCTTCAGCATTTTCTTTATCATGGTCAGTACTAACGGTAATCCCAAAAGTTTGTCTAGCAATTCTGAGAGTAATAATTCCCTTTCTTTTAGTTAGGGCAAATGTATCTTCTAGTTCAAATCCTTCCCACTTAGTCATTAATTAATCAACCTAAGAGGTTATACTCGTATACGATGATTCTGATTCGAAAAGGCTTTCTAAAGGCTCTCTGGATAAGGGAACTTCCTTTAGTGATTTTTCCTTCGACTCTTTTTTCTGACGAGGTTGTTGGTGATGATCACATTGTTAACTTTACGCTCACATCATCTAAAGTTATAGGAGTTTCTCCTTCACTTGCCTTGCTGACTCTGAAGATGAAGGTTGTCATTTTGAATAGGGAAGATGCCAAAAATTTCATCAAGATATACCAAAAGGCTTACGGTCAGGACTCTAGTGATACTGACATTAAGGATCATATACCATATAGAGTTCGACAACATGCTCCTTTATTTGGCCCCTTCTTTGAGAACTAGTGCAATTTTTGGAAGTGTTTTGTCTTGATAAGGCCTTGTACTCTATAAGGTTACTACACCTGCTATCGCGTTTTTACTAGGTCTTGTTCGCATAGGTTCCCAAAATGCTGAGCTTGAGTTTATTTAAACCATGAACCTCATTTGTATGGTGTCCAACTAAGTTCTCTACTTTCGAATGAATTATGATGAAGAGAGATTTAGAGACTCCCTACTAGGGACTTGATTATGAGGAGGAGTTTGTCCCTACTAAAGTAACAATTTCCCTTCAAAGGAAGTGGTCCATTGATAACTGCTTTATTTTAAGCACGATCAGTCGTCTGAATAGAAAAAAGAAATTTAGTGAGGATGGAGTCATCCCCAAGTTTTTTATTAACATGAGTGTTTATACTTGTAGATAAAATGGATTCCTTTCAGAAGGTTTTTGCTATTACTATAGAGCAAAAGGCTCATAGCGTTAAAATTGTTCCTTTGACCTGAGTCTTCACTCCTTCTCCCATTAATCATGTCATGTTTATTACTTTTAAGGTTTCCTTAGTCACGCATATACCAGACCGAGTTGTGCATGCATATATTTTTGTGATTATTAAGGATCATCCTTGGTCCCTTACTGCCCATACAAAGAGGGTTTGGGATCAAGATCAAAGCCTTATCTTGGAATAAGATTGATGACTTCTCGACAAGTGTATCAATAATGTCACAGTAATAAATAAAGTCGAATCCATATGGACTGCTTGTAGCAGTGAAAATTGAGTTTAAGTTATTGATTAACTTAACTCACAAAAGCAAGAGTCCCCACCGCTCTTTATTGTTTCCAAAGGAATGGGAAAAAATGAATAAAATCCACATAAGTTTTAAGACAAAAGTGATAAACCAAAGAGATAAGGGTACAAGGGTTGGTTATGTAAGAACAAGATTGGTTATGCATCTGGCCTTAACTTTTGATGATAACTACACATGCTATCTTAGAGAATAATTCGGTACTTTGTGGTTTCTGTCTAGTGTGTAGCTTTTGCTAAACAGGATCTGACTCTGATAGAAAGGCGTGTGACGTCATCAGACTCTAATCTAAACACTCTGGAAGAAAACATATGTTGTGAACAGGATAAAGTCAAAGTTCAGAAATATTTTTAATGCAACGGTTCTGGAGAACGTTTGTACTAAAGCTTCTGATTATGACTTTGAATGTAAGTCTTGAAGGCTTTCTAAGAGATGTGCTTCTATCACTACAAGTTCTGAAGATTCTGAAGACAAGGTTATGTTGAACAAGTTCTGAAGATTCTGAAGACATCATTCATATCGCTACAAGTTTTGAAGATTCTGAAGACAAGGTTCTGTTGAACGAAGTTCTGAAGACTTCGAAGACAGGTATGTGTTGAACAAGTTCTGAAGATTCTGAAGACAAGTTTCTGATTGAACAAGCTTTGAAGTTTCTAAAGACATCATTTCTAAAAGACCGAGTGTTGAAGACTCTTAAGACAAGGTTGTGTTGAACGAAGATCTGAGACTCTGAAAACTTAGGTTTTGAAGTTACAAGTATTGATCCTTCTACAACATGCTTCATTAAATATACGTCTGAAGCCTCTGAAAAAACTAGAAGGCAGAAGATCAAGAATGGTTAGATAATATGCTAAATATAAAAGTACAAAGTAATATGTAACCTCTACCTAGATAAGGTGGTGCAAGGACAGCTCATTTGTATTGTGATGTGACCATTCCTTCAAGTGAACGTTCAAAAATTACAGTTGGAATTTGGTTCCTATTATACCCTTCAATGAATCTATTCTCAAGCTCTGTATATTGAAGATTTGAATGCTTGAAGCAAAATGACGAGAAGTGAGAGAAAATAATGAACAAGAAGAAAAGAGAGAGCAGAAGAAAACACGAGAGTATGTGCAAAGCGAAAGCAAAGCACCAAGATGTAAGCTTAAAAAGAAGATGCTTGTAGCTCAAACAAAGACAAAGCATTGCTCTACAAAAAAAAGCATTAAAAGAAGCTTTTAAGCAACAAAGCTCGTGTTGATACGATACAAATCTCTTGGAGATTATTCTTAAGATTATTTTGTATATTAGCAAGGAAGTGTTGTTCATATCTTGCTAGAAAACACTTTTGTGTTTATTGTACTTAAACTTATGTAATCTGCTTGTTTAGGAGAATTTTTTTGTACACACATTTGTAACACTTTTCAAAGTGGTTATTCCTCAAGTGACTAAGTCGTTAGTCTATATACTTGAGAGGGCTAAGTTGTTTTCTAACACTTAGAGACTGTAATCTTTCTAGATTATTGAATTAAATCTTTTTCTAAGACGAAATCACCTTGGTGGA